ACGCAGCTCGAGTTCCTGAAGAGGAACGTCTCAGGTTACGCATGTAACTCTAGTTCCTCGAGGGAACGAGATGCTGCGTCTCGGTGCCATACTTCAGGCATCCCTGCCAGCGCTTGCCTCATTCCTGAAGCTGACGCTGGCTCCGCCGCACGTGTGCTCAGTTTTGCTGTGTGATTTAGGTTATTGTCATGTTGGAAGGTAAACCTTCTCCCCATTGACAACTTTCAGGCAGAGGGCAGCAGATTTTCCTCAAGAATTTGACGGTATTTTGCCCCATTTATTTTTCCTTCTGTCCTGCCAAGTGCTTTAGTCCCTGCTGCAGAGAAACACGCCATAACAGGACATTACCACCTCCATGCTTTACTGGAGGAATGCTGTTATTTGGATGGTGAGCTGTAGTGGATTTCTGCCAGACATATCGTTTGGTGTTGAGGCCAAATAATTACATTTTAGTCTCATCTGCCTCAGAATCTTCAAGGTGTGTTTTGGCAAAGCTCAGTCTGACTGCATGCGGCCTTTCTTGAGGAGCGGCTTTTTTCTTGTAACACTCCCATACAAGCCACATTTGTGGAGAATTTGTAATATTGTTGTCACATGCACACAGTGACCACTCTTTCTCATAAATTCCTGCAACTGCTTTAGAGTTGCTGTAAGTCTCTTGGTCGCCTCTCTGACCAGTGCTGGTTAGGTATGTTTTGAAGCATGGCAGCTGGTTTGAGTTGGTTTAACCTGGTCCTGAGCTGGTTATAAGCTGGCTATGAGCTGGTCCTAAGCAGGAGCTAGTTGCTTAGGACCAGCACATGATCAGCTTAAACCAGCTCATGACCAACTAAGGACAAGCTTAAACCAGCTCAAACCAGCTGCCACACTTCAAAACATACCTACTCTGGTTTTTATTTTTTCTAACATGTTGATGTTATATCTTTCACTTGGATATTATAAGTTGCACTGTATTCAGTAAATACAGCTGGATAAAACAAAAACTGTGTCTGTCTTCATTTCCGGCTGCAAAGCAACAAATTATTTTCTATACCCACTATGTGTGTGTGTGAATATATATATATATATATATATAGGTATTATTTTTCAGAAACACAACATCTCATACTGTTGTTAAGCCTTACAAACTCTGTTTACCACAGAGACATTAAAGTTTATATGGCTACCAACCTTTTGGTAAGTTTTACCAGAAATTGCTTTAGGTAAGGAGTTGTTAACCTGTGTGTTGTATGTGCCACTGCATAAAATGCAATGCTTATGAATCACATTCAATTACACTGTCACCGAAAATTCACTTTTGCAGATATCATAGGAAAGAGAGGGGTGATCTGAGACTTGAAAAACAAATGTATTGGTAATCAGCACCTAAGTAGTCAGTTCATTATATGACACCACACAAATGTAGTTCATCCAGTGTACTGATGCATGCTACAGTAAAAACCTATTAACTGATTAACTGTACTGTAAGTTACCTTACCATATATGGTGAACAAATGGTTTAACATTGCATTATATTTAGCTTTACTTTAAAATACTGTTAAATTTATATATTTTTTTGCAAGTAAAAACTATGAACTACTACATAATTTACAATGAAAAAAAAACAACAAAAAAACAGCAAGGGACATTCCCAGAAGTCCCTGCTGAAATTTACAATGAAAAAAACAAAACAGGAAAGGACATTCCCAGAAGTCCCTGCTTAAATCATCAATTATTATTATATTTTATTTAAACAGTTTTGTTTCTTATTATTTTTGTTATTAGTAATGTACACCGGATAAAAATGAAGAAAAAAAAGACTATTATGTTTAGGGAGATTGGGGTAAGTTGAGCCAGTGAGTAGTGTTGACCCACCCCCTATATCTTGGCAACTGTATACTTTTACTGTCATGTGATCATGTATTTGGAACCACCCATCATTTCTGCCAGACTATGAAAAGGAGAAACACAAGGGAGGAGTGAAAGGCACCCATTTACTTTAAAGGCGATATATCATGAAAATCTGACTTTTCTAGGTTTTAAGTGCTATAATCAGGTCCCCAGTGCATCTACCAACCAAGATATACCAGCTCTATTGCCATGGCTAAAGTTTGAGCAAAGCATACTAACTGTTCTGTCTTTGGCTGCACAGATGAGCACAGAACACTATTTAGAGTCCCAGCCTCAGAGGAGACAACAGAGCAGTGGATTTATTGATTTATTTACTGTATATTGCTGCTGCCGGAGCAGCAGCTCATTTGCATTTAAAGAGACAGGCACGAAAAACTGCGTGTTTCTGCTTCCACTCAAATTAGGCATTTTCAAAATGATATAATAAATGATCTGTGGGGCATTTTGAGCTGAAACTTCACAGACACATTCTGGGGACACCATAGACTTATATTACATATTGTAAAAAAAGGGCATAATATGTCTCCTTTAAAAACTGTTTTTGGCTTGTCAAAGTAAAATTTTAGAATAACAGATGTAATGGCTGTTACATCAAAGCAAATTTAACCAGGTCTAAAAATATTTATGATGCATCTAGGTGATTTAGCAACATATAAAACCATTCAAATCATTTAGCTAAATATTAGCCTAAATTGGTAAGTTAGGTAGTTTTTTCCAAAATGGCAGCTATGGTGCAAAGTTAGCCAAATGCTGTGGGGTAAATTGAGCCAGTGTTTTACGTCACCACCCCATAAGGCACTGAAGTTAAATCTCTGAAGTTTAAACTGGTATTTTAATCTGATAATGTCCCATAAGGACATTTCCTTTAAATGGACATTACCCTAAAACACAACACAATGCAATGTATAATTCAAAACATACGGAAAACACCTGCGAAATCAATATTGAAAATCCCTTCATATTACAGTACAGACCTTTCTTAGAGTGTACATTAGGGTGTTTTGTGTTAAATTTTTTGTTATTTGTTTGCATGACACTGTGCACCAACTATACATGAATATTCACTATGTTTTATGGATAGGCAACTTCTGGTCAACTCTGTGGCTTTCTGTCTCACCACCTGTATATTCGTAGCACAGTTTCTGCCAACCACATCTTGCCCTTACATTTGCACACACAAGCATCATCTTTGACTCAGCTTCAAAGTTTGATACACAAACAAACAAAACATATATAGTCACATATATAGTTTCCAGCTCAGGGCTGATTACTATGAACCATTATATATGGGAGTTTGTCAGTTCAGTTCAAAATGCTGCTGCGAGGATCCAGATTGGAACCATGAAAAGAGTAAAAGATTATGCAAAACTACTACTACTTTTCTTCATTATGATATCAGAACAGGTGTATCATAATATACCCCACCCCACCCATCCCCACAAGCTCACCTTCTATTCTCTGCGACATTAACTCAAAGATTCACCTCGACAAGACTTTACAGAGGGTGAATAATAATGATGTTTCGGCAGAAGATAAATATACACAGCCAGAGCAGACAGAGTGAAGCCGTGACGGTGTGAGCCGTACCTTACAGCCGCTGCTGATGTCGTGACCCCAGTGGTTGGGCGCACATTTGTCACATCTCTCTCCCACGGTGTTGGGTGGACAGATACACTGACCTGTGTTAGCGTCACAGTTATTTCCCACATGGGCACACTGGCATGCTGCGAGACAGACAGAAACAGAGAGCAGGTTAATTGTGGAGCGCAGCTGAGCACCTGTTCTAAATGTCAGCTCTCTGCTGAGGTAATATCAGTGTGATAGCGTGACAGAAGACGCTCCAGCTTGAAGGAGATGGGCAAATTTACACACCATCCCAACAGAGAATTACATTATTCTTAATGAAATGAACACCACTGTAGCGCTTACAGGTCAGGCTTGTTGATGTCCACATTAAAAGCCATTGTCTGAAATGTGAGTGGTTGGCACACAACCTTTTGCTCTTCCAAAGATCAGAAGATGTAAAGCAGTTCCATGTTTCACTTACATCTGTTATGTTTCATTTACAGCATCAAGTTCAATTTCAGCTGTAAGCAGCTCTACAGAAGACAACTGTGTCATTATTCAGCTCGATTCAGTTCAAATCATCTGATAGTGTCACTGCAGGTCAATAATATATATATATATATAAGACACTTCATATTCTGTAATATTATTGACCTGCAGTGACACTATCAGATTATATATATAATATTATTATTATAAATTTTTTTTTTTTAAATGCACCAGGATGAGTAATGGCAATTTAGTCTAAATTAATGTTGGGGATTGCTACTTTGGAACCAGTGGTGGTTTGTGGTTTTTAATAATTTAATTTTATATATTATATTAGCAGCATTTCTAATTTACATCCATATGTCCCTATATCTTAAACTATGCTCAAAAAAACCAATTAAATAAATAAAATTAAATAAATGAACAGAATAAATTTTATACTAATGTTTATTAACATGCATTGCCCCTATCAAAAAACAAATAAACACGAGACACTTGTGACATTAATGTAAATTAAAGATGAGTTTAGACTCAGACATTTAATTAGACATTTAATGCTTTCCCTATCCTATGGATTTACTGTTCTATTGTTCATACAAATAAAAATCTAAATGCACGGGTGAATCTGGAATGAATTACAGAGGCACATGCATGGTCTCATATCAAGGGCTCGAGGTTCAGAGGTGAATTCTTACGTGTGCAGCCGCCTTCCTGGAAGCTGAAGTGTCCGGGAGCGCAGCGGTCACACTTCTGTCCCGTCACACCAGGCTGACAGCGACACTGACCGCTCTCATCACAATCAAACGACTTCGATCCGAATGAATTGCAATGGCATGGGACGCAGCCTTGAGCGCCCTGCATGTGTAAGCTAGACTGGAGAGACAGAGAGACAGAGAGGAGGGTTAAATCAAGGCCATTCTCAGAGTGATGGCTAGACTGTGCTGTGTGGCACTTTCCACAAATAAAGTACAAATAGGTTTAAAAAGCAATGAAGGCACAAATCCTATATTTTTAGAGCGAGAACTATTTCATATGTTGGAGAACAGGGGTAGGTGGTGTGTAGGTGGTGTTTAACCTTTAGAAAAAAAAGAAAAAAAAATTACTTCATAAAGAGCATCAAGCTCATTTTTTGCACCTATTCGTGGAATGTGCCGTGTTTAGTCATACAAACAGTATCATGTGCAATATTATATAAAACCTCCTTCAGTCCTTCAGTGACTCAAAGACCTTCATAAACACAGCACAGAGCACAGCACTGAACAGCCATGCAGATATTACAGATCAAACCAAACCACAGAAATCTGCCTCTGTCTCCAGTCTGTACTCTGTCTCCTTTACACTCACTTCAACTGACTGTAAAGACATTTTGAGAGGTAAATGCCAACAATTTAATTTTAATGATCAAAATGATCATGCAGTGATGATAAATCTGCACACGCCATGTGGATGTGAAGTCACTGTGGCAGCCATTGCTGTGGGTGATTGACAGCCATCTGTCTGCTAGGAACAGGTGCGCTGTCACCGTAGCAACCAATGAGAAGCGGCCCTGGCACAGACTGTCAGTGGCACCCCATGGATGCCAGATATATGAAGACACACACACACACGCACACACACACACACACACACACAGCATGCAAAGCTGTGAGCCAAAGTAACAAAACTCTCCTCCAAGAGAACTCATAACTGTGCCTGGTGCTTTTTAAAGACTAAGAAAAGACTAAAACATAAAAATCACAGCATTTAACAGTGCCATGTGCTTTCTGAGTATGACAGATTAACTGACTCTCTTAAGTGCTACTTAACTAATGTTACATGTAAATGTATAATTAAAAACCAAAGCAGACTGTGCACATTATGTTACATCCGTCTTAAAACCAAAGGATGTCTTTTTGAATTATGTATACTTGTTTTGGTTTCTTTCATTAATAACTACACAAGTGTACTTAAGCATGCAGAAACGTTTCTCATGCAAAACCTCTGCACAAACACAATTGCATGTGGATTTGTTCTTGATCTTCTGCTAAAGGAATAAATTGAGAAATCAACATTTTCCTGATCTTTTGACATGTAAGAGGTCACTGCACTATAAAAACATACCGTAGGTTGGTATTGAACTCTTGTTCATAACAGTTATTCCACATGCATAGAAGTTACCCATAGCAGTGGGTATTTAATCTTAAAGGAGACACAACCCTTAAACTGATTGTTTAATGTAAAAATGAAACCAACATTATAAGAGCACCTCCAGGAACAATTGAAACATTATGAATGCAATGCAGGAGCCCTTTAAAGCCAAACGTGTCATTATCGAAACCAGATGAAACACAATAAACATCTTTATGAAGAAGCCCAGATCGAGTTCTGACATGCTCATGTTGTTGCTGTGAAATAAGAAAGACATATTGTAACTCACACTTAGCAACTCACTTTCTAATAATAATCATATCTATAAAAAAACACTTCGATTCCCATGTTTCTAAGGCCAGCAGAATTCAAGCACATTCTACATTTAGAATAAAAGTGTGAACTTGCTGAGTACAGTTTGTGCATGAAAATGTTCACACAGGTTTTGTGCAAAAATGTGTATTTACAGGTAGTGAGAAAAACCAAGTGTAATAATTCTAAATATTTTTTTTCAGTATGCATGTGATGACCTACAGTATAATGCATAATGCTGATCTTGAAGTGATGCATGATGTCCTCAGTACTGCATTATTGTTACCAAAAACCTACCATGAAAAGCAGCATCATACATTATGATATACATTAATATGTTACATTACAGGGAATATATTTTATATAACAGAAATAAAATATAAACACAACTTTGCAAAGGAACAAATCTAAAAATTGCAATAAGGAGCTATGCATATACTATTATAGTTTGTATTAATATTTTAAATTAGCTTATATATTTTCAGCTTTCATTTTAATTTTAGTTACATTTTTAGTCATTTTGTTATGTATTGGTCTTTTTTATTTATTTATTTTTTTGAATATTACTATTTATTTTTAATTGATTTCCATTTCAGTTGTAGTTTTTATTTATGTCCAGATAGTAAAATTTATTTCCAGTAACTAAAATAGTGTTTTTCGGTTAGTTGCCAAGGCAACCTTTCTAATTTTCATATAAAGTTTTGCATATATTATTGACATTTTATTTTAGCTTAATTTCAATTCAAATATTTTAATAGATAATAGATCATATTTTTTAATAGAATAGTTTTAGTGAACGATAATAGCCCTGGCTGGTAAATTGTAAACAGGAGTAAACTGCATCAATGTTAAAGTTAATCTGAATAAAACAGGCAAAATTGAAAAACAGCTGATCTGATCAGCAGTAAAAAGGAAAAAACAGTTATGTGTATAATGTGTGTTATTTTGAACACTCTTACACTGATATTAGATGAGTCAAAGGAAGTCACACACACACACACACACACACACACAGATCCTGTGCACCCATCATGCCGTGCGTTTACCCCTGTGCCGGGGCGGTACGCCCCTCGAGGGCAGCCCCCTCTGCTTTCCCATCTCTGGATGTGTTGGATGGGAACCTGTTGGACGGGTCGCCGGGTCTCCCTGCGGGAGTGAGGCGGGCGCATGAGGTCACACCTGCGGCCCACGTATCCGGCCCGACAGATGCACCTGCCCTCAGAGTCACAGCGCTGGGACACGGAGCCCCGAGCGCTGCACTGACACGGCCTACACAACTGAGCTTCACTGTCCCACCAACAATTCGGCTAAACATACACGGGTTTATGAAGAGGCAGAGACAAAAATAAGAAAATATAAAAAATATATAAGAAAATTACTCACACTGACGCAATGAATAGGGAATGTGTTATGCACACAGTAATGTCAATCTAACCCAATGACAGAAATGACTGCATTTGGTGTGGTGTGGTGTATACTCACCATGCACTCGTCACACTGACGTCCAACAACATGTTGTCGACACTGGCACTGTCCGGTCTCCTGATGGCACAACTCTGAGAGCGATCCATTAGTGTGACACTGACACGCTACACAGAGACACAGAAAGAAACTTGTAGAGAGAAACACGACTAGACATGAAAGACATTGACACTAAATCGTGATCAGTGACATTTCCATCAATGTTTTGACAATACATACTGTATATATATTCCAAACAAAGTGTTGTTGTGTTTAGGAGGAACTTTTTGTGTTGGACATACTTCATTATGTACAACACTGCAGGTAAAGAAGCCTTTCTGTGTAATGTAGGTCATTCAAACAACTTCTCTAAGCATCCCACTGAGCGCTGTGCTGCACTGCATTGTTTTACTGATGATTCTTCTCTTTGAAACTGGTTAATCTCAGCAGAAATAAAGTAAGTCCTATAATCTCACATTAAATATAAACATGCGTCAGAGGTTAAAAAAGGACAAGCATTGGCTCCGCTTCACTCCCCTTCACTGGTGTACTCTATATATTTTAGTAGATAGGCCTACTGAAACTTGGTGCACATTTTTCAAATATGACGTTTGTACAATATGTATGTGTCTGATATTAGTGGAATGTTTCTATTTAGCAATTTTCTAATTTAACATAAGAATTCCCAATTCTTTCAGTCTGATAATAGTATAAGTATAACAATTTGAGTCAAACTTTTATTTAAAAAAGTTAACATGAGAATATCACAACATGAACAATTATTAATTTTTACACAATTTTTCACATCACAAATTTGACATAAAAAATCCTAAGACTTCCTGTTTCCTTACAGGTTTAAATAAGACTTTGAATCCCAGACTTTCAGTTTGGACACCATCTGAATATGTTTTGCAATATTATAACCACATCAAATGAACTAAGCACTGTTAAAATCAGTAGGAACACATAAACTCTGGGAAACTGTTTCATTGTCATGTTTCATGCACAACCAAGGGAATGTGTGCAACCCAAATGTGCTTTGAACTCGCCTCTGGCGTGTATAACAACTAAAATTAAAAACCAGTGAGATTATTCAATATTCCATGACCCCTTTGCATGCTAATCAGTGCAGTGTGTGTGGAAAACAATCAAACAGAATGACTCTATCCTGCTTAAAATTACAGCACGGTGTAACTGTGGGCACACTGCTGTAAGGGCTGCAGGAGGACGGATTGCATTTCAATATAATGCACACACACTTTCTGAACTCTGACTGAGATGGAGCACAGATGGTGCAGCTTGAGGCTTGTTGGAGGGGAATCTGTGTGTATTGTCCTTGAGGGTAGACGGCCCGTGGATCAACTCACCTCACACACACACACACACACTCACACACTCACACACACTCACACTCACACACACTCACACACACACACACACACACACACACTGTCTGGAAGAACACAATTTAATTTCAACAAAAACAGACACATTAAAAATTCCAACCAAAAAAAACAAATATGGTGTGTCTTAGGAAAGGTGCAAAATATCCCCCCTTTTTACTGCAGTTATGGAGTGCCCAATTTTCTGCTCTGGGAGGTTCCAAGACTAACTTTTTACATTTTCATTTAGACCTTCAAAGTACATATTTAACAGGTCATATTAATTTTACAAAAACAATGATATTCATAAAATAAAGTATTACTGTATTATATAGGTCTAAATTATTTTGTGTAATAATGAACTAATAGCACCCCAATCAAATCACAATTTCATAAAAACAAAAACAGAATTGTCTACAACTGTGATCATGGTAACTGTGACTTGATTGGTGGATCTCTCTACAGGATTATGGGTAGCGTGGTCAACAGGGACATTCATGTAGGGCATTCAGTCAATAAACATGGTTTTTAAAAAGTTGAAATCACACTGACTGTCTTCTGCAGAAGAAAATATAGTAATCTAACAAACTCAGAGTTCATGGTAGATCTGCCTTTAGGTTTAAACAGAATTTATAAAAATCAACCGAGAGCATAAATTCTATTTTTACATTATGCATGTTATATCTTATTGGAAACAATTCATCCATGTTTATGTTTGTTTGTTTATTATTATTATTGACCTTTTGTAATGTTTAATCAAAAGCGAAATGTGAAAATGTCAGCCTTATCTCTGGTGATGTATGCAGGATTTCTCCAATTATTTATTCTTAAATTGTCTAATATTGAGATCATAAGAGATTAGACATCACATGTTGCTGTTAGTCAAAGGGCTATGATCTGAAAACAATCAAACTCTGCTCTTTCACTCACCTTGGCAATTCTTGGCTATGAGGGCATCTCCAAAGTATTCGTCAGCGCACCTTTCACAGTCCGGGCCTCCATATCCCTCCCGACAGCGCAGACAGGCTCCAGTCACCGGATCGCAGCTGAGCTCTGCTGTAAGATCCAGGTTACCGTTACACATACACGGCTGACAGGAACCCCCAGGAACGTTGGGACGACCGAAATAGCCATTAGCACACCTGAGGTCATCCAGAGTAGAGAGAATGCATGCTTTAGAGATGCATACACTTCAAAACATGATACACATAATAAAACAATTTACATTCAAATCAACATTTCATATGCATTTGTTTCATTACTTTGTTTTATAATGCACAGTCAGCCAGCTTGGGTCACTGTGTGTGGGTTTGTTTTGTGATACTGACCAACTGACTGAACATTTATACCTTATGTACAATTATGTATATTTAACATCTAGCTTGAAGGTGGTGCAGTGATGTAGCTGTTAATTTGTCATTTGTAATTGCAGTTTGAATCAGATCAGCGGTGGCTTTAGCAGTTGCGATAGTGCATGTACTGTAGAAGCTAAAGCTGAGCTTAACAGATAGTTTGTCAAGAATAGCTGGGGTAAAGTGGGATAAATGGAAACACTTAAGGAAAGCATTTAAGTATATTGCATTTCCTGACGAGTCATTTACCGTTTCTCTTTTAAAGGAGCTGTGTACAACTGAACTGACTCCATTACAGTACGTCTGATGAACAACCTTATTTTGATCATGAAAAGAACACCCGAGACTTTTCTCGCCAAAACAAAGCACAGACGATGAGAATGTGAGAGAAATATAAGGGGAAGAGACACTATCACTTCCTCCGCTCGCTTCGCCCACCCGCTCTTCTTATCTGCAGTCGGTGCGTTTGGATCCTATATCTCTACTGAAGCAACTTGTGTTGCTGGCTGATAAACACGCACAGTCTATCCATTGCCTTCATGTTAAATGGATTCCTCTGCGCTTATCTGCACACGACTGTGCTATCTGCATGATGGTGGAAAGAGAAAGTAATCACCGTGTTTCCCTCACGCCCAGTGGATTCCGCAAGCCACCCTAGACTTATTAATTGAATATGGTATTGCTTGTGACTGTCTTTACAGGCCCAGCGGCATGCTAGTGCAGAATCTAGTTTTAACTGTGCATGTTGGAGATTTCAACTTTTAAACAAAGTCTTAAATCTCACAATAACTTTAAAAGACATAATATCCCTTCAGCAGTACAAATGCTCTGGGCTCATGTCTTATTTAAGAAATCTTGGTACATATATAGTAATATCTGCATTTATAAGTGTGATTTTTACCAAACCGCCTGACCTGGTACTTGATATTTGGTACCTGGCAATGCTATTTAAAACGATAAGTGACCTTCATGTAACTTCATGCTTTGGTAGGAAATTGTCTCCTAAGGACATGACTGTAAATGCAATTTGGAAAATGTGAATCACTCAGAAAATATTGTTTTACATTAAAACATTCAGAACGGGTCTGATGCCAAATTTTTTATATACTCAGAAAAAAAATCAGATAATGGAATTAAAATTAGCCACTCCATTCATTCATATGTTGTAGTGTAAAATATAACAAACTATAAAGGAACTGATATGTTGTCACTTTCATATCTGAGAATACGAGAAAGAAAATGGTTGTCAGATTGATGTTTATCATCGGAATTTGGATGTATTCTCTGTACTATAGCTCATAATATTCTTTGGAAAGTAGTGGAATCATGTTTAAATTTTACTTGTCAGATTATTTCCTACGGATGTGTGTAAATGTGGAGCTGTCTCAGACTAAAGCCACAGTCACACTAGACATTAAGTATGCAAAATTTTTATGACTCTGCAACAGTCGTTATCTGACATGATCAACTTAAATCTAACACATAACAAATAAAAATAAATCCAAAATAAAAACATACAATCTACTCCACTTTCTTGCATTGCTGCAGTTTTACATTTATGTTCATTTAATTCAGCTACGAGGTCATGCCGTAACGTATCAACCTTGATTTGGTCACACGGTTTCACTTGTTACAAATTCGCAGGTCTGAGTTCACCACACTTGAACTTTGGAACACAGTGGAATGCGAAACAACTTTGCAGAAGCTTGGACGTCTGCTCTCCCGCATTCGCATGTGCATGAATGGAAGTCAATGGAACGAAAAGTGTAGTGTGACCGATCTTTAACTGATACATATGGAGTGCCACAAGGCTCTGTCTTAGGTCCGATTTAGTAGCATTTCCATGTACATCCTACTAGGCCAAATTACAATGAAACATCTGATTATGCAGTTTTTTTATTTTCACTATTTTCATAATTTATTATCATTTTTTTTAAATGAGCATTTAGTGTAATAAGAGAGTAAAGACTGGTATCCATTAAATGACAAATTAGACGTCAATGAGCATAAACATGGGTTAGTAAATGAATACAGAATCTCTTTAAGTGTCTGTGTAAATGGAAAAGTCCCCACCTACTGTTTCAAAATTACATAACCCCCAATATACTGTCAGACAGACTGTCACCTCTGCTGCTTTGGTACCCTTTAAAGGGTAACTGAGCATCGAAGGCTGGCTCTTCCTCTTTCTCTGGTGCCAGCTCATAATTTCTCCTGTCGTTAGCTCTGCTGTGAGAGTGCCATCTTAAGCACTGATGACTCGGGTCAGGTGTCTTTAACCCAGGCCATATATATGGTCAACTTCCTGTGTGTCTGCACACAAGGGAACAATTACTAAAAAAAACCTGGGACTGTTCCAAACTCTTATTTCTGTTCTCTCTTTACCCCATTCACCTCAGCCTGCTCTCTCTGACTCACTCGCAGTTTCAGGTGTCACTGGCCATGCAGGGCCAAACTAAACATAAGTACTCTATTTCAGAGCAGGACCAGGCGCCATATAGGGACTGAGCTGAATTAGGTCAGTGAAAGACTGAGTGGGGTGGAGAGAGGTGGGTATTGGGTTTTTATGTTTTGGGTCAGTGATTCTTAAACCGAAAGTATCACTAAAACCATTACTGTTACTGATTGCCTACTACACTCTCAGAGCTTACGGCATGCTTCACAACAAACACATACACAGTGTGTGAATGAAGCAGAGGGGTAGGATGATGAATATAAGACCTGTTTCAGGGAGCACAACTGCAGTGTAACAGCAACAGCAGGCTCACACTGCGCTTTCACTCTGATTACATATGCATGGACAACAGAAATGGACACTTTCATCCGCATATACATGCAGTTCCATTAGCAAGCAGCTTCCTCTCTCTCTCTCTGTGTTTACCTGATATTTCAGATTGGCACTTTCTTGCCATTATTCTGGTGCATGTAATGTAAAGCTGGTCACTGACAAGGTTTCTGCTGTTTATGTTACTAAAGCTCTATAAAAAATAAGTGATTTCTGGTTTAATATATTGAGCAGTCCTACAGACCAGTGGTTCCCACCCATATTCCTGGAGCCCCCAACACTGCACATTCTGTGTGTCTCCTTAATCAAACACACCTGATTCAACTGTAGAGTTGAATCAGTAGAGACTCCAAGACCTAAAAGGGGTGTGTCAGACAAAGGAGACATGCAAAATATGCAGTGTCGGGAGCTAATCTACCAAATAATAACCTTTATAAATTTACAAATAGTAAAAAATCTATAGATCCAAAGCACAACTACACTAAACTGCGTATAACCCCCCAAGAGTAGTTTAGACTATATATGAACTACAAATATAAATCAAATAATCTGGATTCAGTTTGGATAGCTGTTACTACATATGGAATTTAGTTCACCAATTTATCAGTCGTGTCAGTCATCATTGAAATCGACACTAAAGTCTCTGAATTTGTGTCTTAAGAAGAGTGAGATATTTCAATATTGAAGGAATCAGCAATTGTGGCACTTGTTGCTCATCTTTATTCTGTGTACTCTAATAAAACAAGCTTTACCGTTTTTGGTAGCACTCCAGTGGGCTCAGTTTGGCTCTACAGATACTGAATAGAGTTCATCTGATTTGTTCAGATGAAAATTGGGATCTGGTGTTGAAAATTATGTATGATGTCTTGTATTATGCAATGATTTCTGTTTAAAGAGAGCCAGTTATGTGCCACTGTTGACCGCTGGCCAAGGATGCAACCACATATTTAGGATTTGTTGGGACTAAATGTAATAATTTAAGATTCAAAACACTGAAAATCACACATTGGCTAACTGCTAATCTGAATACTAGAACTGACATATCCTTTTCGGTGTCTATGGTGGTTACGGCCCTGTTGGAAAATGCTGATTTTTAAAGTTTCTTTGAAATGTTTCTCTATAGAAGACTCAACTAAAAAAGGCACAGATGAGACAACAGTTGGCATACAAGTATAAAGCTATATAACGAATGTGGGTTCATTGACGTTTCCCAAAAGCAGAGGCGGACTTACCCAATAGGCAAATGTAGGCGACCACCTTGGGCCCTCAAAAGCCAAGCCCCAAAATGCAGTAAACAGTAAAAAGCATCACAACAAAAAAAGGAACCTCAAGGCTGATCTATAGGTAAGTGTGTGCAAATGCATAGTGCAAATGTAAATGTTCAGGTTATGGAAGATTTGATGAGAAATATTTGAGTTCATATTCAGATCTCTGCCTTCTCATTGACCTCCTTTGAAAGCCTGTGTGCGATTACTGTAGTCTTTTTCTCACAAGAAGCAAAAGTCTCTATTTGCGCTCCATTTAATGTGGCTTTCCTGTTGGACGGCCTCGACACAATGCATTTTTAAGAACACGTTTTAGGAGCGATGTGTGCTGCCTGACTGAGTTTGTGTGAAGTATGTCCTTCACATCTCTTACAGTGGGTCTCTCAGGGTACAGACTGGGTTCGAGCCCCGTCTGAGCGGTGATGGATTGTTGTGTTCATCTGTCCCTGGCTTTTCCCAGAACGAGAAACCTTTCCATTCACTCTCTCTCTCCTCTCTAACTTTTCTCCACTTGTCCTCCATAACACACCATCAGCTCCCTCATTCCCGTTCCCTCCACTTCGTGTCTGCTAATGGCTCAGCGTGGAGAGCTTTGGTGCCAGCTAGTGTGTACCAGCACTGGCACTGCACCAGTCCCTCTCCATCTGTTTCAGGGGTGGGGTCACAGCAGAGCCGAGACCTTTCTTCCACCTAGACGCCGTATTCCATGACAACACTGTAATTTAGTCTGCGTACAGAGCTGGCACGACTGCCAACGCAACCTCCCCAGAATGCAGCATATGCTAATGCTAACACATCAGCATACAAACCTTCAGAGAACGAGAGAGACCGTTACCAGTGTGGAACATGAAGGGGTGAGAAAGAAAGATAAATAAACAGAGCGAGTGATGGAAATATTCTGTATGAAAGATGAGCTCAGTGATTTCTGATGCTAATGAAATTAAGAAAAAAACATGAGATCCACAGCGAGGGAGCTGCTTTGCGCTATATTGCATTTGTGGCCACTTTACACAGGAACCTCAAAGTTTTAAAATTCCTTGTTTTATTGTTGTGATTATTTTTTTCTTTTCTTTTATGTAAAGCACTTTGAATTACCATTGTGTATGAAATGTGCTATATAAATAAACTTGCCTTGCTGATCTGAATCAAGTGCATTAAATAAGGAAGAAATACAAAATGTGCAGAGCAGTGGGTCCCTAGGACTGGAGTTGAGAACCACTGTTGTAGAGGACCAATACTGTACATAGGCTTTTTCACTTTTTGCTGCCCTTATAGGAGGCACCCTCCCCTGCATCCTAAATGAAACAAAACCACAAAAGTGACTAATTTTATAACTGATTTCTACATAAGCAGCATTAACGCCAAGATTACGAGTTTGATTTCCAAGGAATGCATGAACTGATGAAATGCATACCTTGAATGCAATGTGTCACTTTGGATAAAAGCATCTGCCAAATGATTTTAAGAGTTAAAATGACATTGATTTCAAGAGTTTAGTGTTATATTGTTAAGCTAACAACGTGATATTCTAACAAACATAAAAATACATACAGCACACACAAAAGATGAGTAAAATAGTCTATGTAGTTTTAGTTAGATTCAGCTATTTTTAAACAATACTTAAGCATATTGGCATGAAATACAAACACTTTTCTAATCAACATTTCTTATGCTGCCTACCTTTTGGAAATGAAAGTCAGGAGCACAACTACAGTATGATGTCTTGCGGTGCTGCCTGTAGATGACTCATTAGGTGTTGGTACAATGGCATTATGCAGTGAAGTTCTGGTCAAGTTTCGAAACTGCATCAAAAATGGATCTACTGTGCAGTCAGATAACTAACTTTAGGACTCTCCAGTACACCATTCCATTTCACATGGAAAAGACCTCTCTCAAATATGCACATTTGGGATTACTGAGAGAATTGTTTTTATTTATTCATTTATTTTAAATTTAGGGTAATTTTAAGGATTGTAGATGTAAACTAACCACCCAGGCTCATTGGAAATAGGTGCCTCTACCTACGTTTCTGCAAAATTAAAAAAACATACATATACGTACAAATCGCTGCAGTTTCCAGTTGAAATGAACACTAGAGGCAGCAAAACTCTGACAACTTTTATTCCTTTTCATACAAATTATGATTTACAGGGCCAGAGTTTCTTTTAAGAAAGCCCAATTTTTGCACAATTCCTTGCACAATATGTGACCCTGGACCACAAAACCAGCCTTAAGTCGCTGGGGTATATTTGTAGCAATAGCCAAAAATACATTGTATGGGTCAAAATTATAGTTCCCTTTCATGGGAACTTCGAACTGCGTCCTCTAGGGGTCGCTATGGGGAACGCTTCGTCGTGACCCGTGTTTGAAGCTTACATTGAAAAAACACCAACTCGTTGGCCGGCGACAGCCATGACGTCACTACCGGTGCGACTATAGCATAAATAGGCACCGGGAGCACACATCATTCTCTTCTTAGTTTTCATTGACTGTTTTGTTTGAAGCGTGCATTTCTGTGGTAAGAGCGATCTATTCATCTCATTATGGCGAGCACTAGCAAAGCGTTTAAGGATGTGTGCATCAGTGTTGACGTTGTTTGACATCTGATGACACACACGATCTATGCGTTATTTGTTTGGGCGAAGAGCACGCACGCGATGCCTCCGAGGGGGCAATCGGCGTGCACTGCAACTTCATTTGGACAAATTTAAAGGCGATTTTCTCAATATTTTTATTTTTTTTGCTCCCTCAGATTCCAGATTTTCAAATAGTTGTATCTCGGCCAAATGTTGTCCTATCCTAACAAACCATACATCAATGGAAAGCTTATTTATACAGTATAAATCTCAATTTCAAAAAATTTAAACTTAAGACTGGTTTTGTGGTCCAGGGTCACATATTATGTTATGTTATGTTATGTTATGACTTCACAACAATTTTAACATGCGGCAAGATTTGAAAACTGATACTTTTGAATGTTAGCGTCACATATACAGCGTCATATGCAGACCTGCCAACCTGTATGCATTTTTTACCTCAAAGTACGCTGGTACAATTTGTCACTCTAGCTGCTTCTGTCCATATGAGGGATTTCCTGGAGTGTCGTAAACTCTATTACTTCTGTGACGCACAGTGTTGCCAACAAATTATCAGGGGAAGTTGCTAAAGGAAGGTTGAATTAGATTTGTTCGTATAATAATATAAATGCATGATATAATAATATTAAAATTTAAATAACTGTATTTTTAAATACAACATTGAATTATTGAACACATTTTTGAACAATTACAATTTAAGTTTTTTTATTAGCTAGTAAACTAGTTAAACTACACATTCTGAACAATTATAGTTTTAAGCAGTGTATTAGTTAGTTAGTATGCTACACTCTAAGAAAAGTCTGTAAAATAGTCTACTATGTTAATATGAAGGAATTTTCTGTATTAATTTTTCACAGGTTTTTTTACCTGCATTTTAAATTACGCATTGTATTTTGAGTTTTCGGGTTACAACAGATAATGGATAACAGATAATGTCCTGGAAAATTCTAGTACCTTTTCCATTTTCTATATATTTTTCTTACCGTGTACTTACTGATCAACAATCACAGGTACAAGCTACTAACAAGGTGTATCACGATAGGTGTGTTTGACTTGAACGGGCACTGCACAGATCGATCAGTGTTTGACATCAAAGCACCACGAGAGCAATTAGAAAGCATGCAGAGCCATCTGCTCTCTATAGCTCTCACGGTGATAATGAAAATTTAAAAAAATCTTTAGTCACTAGAGTAACTAAAATTAAGGAAAGGGTGGGGTAAGATGTGCCAGTGAGTAAACTGTGTTGCATCCTTAGTCTGGCACATTTTTGTGCATAATTTGTATCACATGAGCATATAATCAGAAAGAAAAAAAGTAAAACAGGTCAAATGGAGTTTTATGTCCATAGTCACAATCTGACTAAAGATTAGCGATCAATTACTAAATGTAGCATTTTACCCAAAATGCCATTTGTGGGGTAAAGTGTGTCAGGTACTTTGGTGTAAGATGTGTCAGCATCACTTGTAAATGCAAATTTGTCCTTTGTATTTAAATTTAAATGTTTTTATTTGCAATGTAAAACAATCACATTGATTCAACTTAACATGACTCAGTTTGTGTGACTGGATCACTTTGTTTATTCAGAAGTCATTCATCTATGGCCTGATGTTAAAGATACTTTCTTTAATTTCAGGTAAGTGAAATATCATTTGCTATAACCAGTCTTGTTTCTTTTTGTATAGGGGGCAACTTGAGTAAAAAAATGGCACACCTTACCCCACTGGAGGTAAAGATTGGAGGCCAAACCTTGTCGTCTTACCTGTCACAACGTGCACCCGTGTAACCCGGCTGGCATCGATCGCAGATCACCTCACCTCTGGCATCGACGTGACATGTGGGACTGAAACTACGGTGTTTTTGAGCCAGCAACGGGACAAAGAGAAAAATAAAAGAGCAGCGAATTAAAAGCATCCTTCCCATTCGTCATAAGTACTTGCTCTTGTTCTAACCGAAGCCAGAGAGAGTCTGAAGCCCAAGATGGTTTAGCTGGTGGGCAAACCCTCTGCAGCGAGGTCAACTTGTGCCATTAGCTCTAGCGTAATGACTGCGCGGCTATTTCAGACGACACTGGAGCCTGGCTGAGGGGCATGCTGGGAATGCTGAGGGCAGGAGGGGAGCAACGCTTTCTTTAGCCCACTTGAGGATGTGGAATGTTCAGCTGTTAGACTCTGGGACGTGTCTACTCTTTATGGATTAGCCACTAGCATGCTACAGCTAATATTATCCTAGTGATGAAAACATGTGCCAGTTTCAGAGTTGAAGTAAGAGCATGTAAGAGCTACAAGTCGCCCCTTTAAATGCTAACATGCTAAAAATAAGACCAATGTAGACAAGCTTAAACTGAATTATGGTTTTAGTTGAAAAAGTTGAGTCTGCTACTGGCACAAGATTGTTAAAGGTGATGTGTGCAGTTTTTTTTTTTTTTATAAAAGTTTTGAAATAGTTTATCTTCTCTCAGTGTAGTATATAGAGTCATGGTTTGTGTCACACTGCCCTTACGAAAATCAACCATGGTTTTACCACAAATAAAACCAAAAGAACCATGGTTACTATAGTTAAACCATGGTAACCACAAATTAACCATGGTTTTGCTACACTAACCATGGTTTAACCATGATATTTGTTGTAAAACTGTGCTTATACAAATGGTAATCAATGCAAAAAAAAAACAACAAAAAAAACATGGTTACTACAATTTTACTACAATAAAACCATGGTTAATTTTCGTAAGGGTGAGTCTGGCACAATCACAACATTGCTCTGTATCTTCTAATATTCCGAACAGCCAAGCATAGCAACATGGACTCAACACTGACTCTATGACTAACCAATGGCAATGTTCAGGAAACCTGTTTGAACACAGCATTTCTTTCTTTTGCACTCAGATTTCTCACAAATCTCCACTTCAGCAGTGCTTAAATACTCCAAACTTTACAGTATTATCTATATTATTTTACAACAGGTGAAAAAACATGGTAAAAATGTATTATCTGTTGACAAATAATGTCTGTTGACAGTCTGATTTTTGGAGTGATAAAAAGAGAAATCTAATATCTCTGTAAAAAAAACATTTCTGTAGAAACTCTGATACATCAACAAAATCAAACAAGAATTTCGATCCTAGTTCCAATGTTCATATTTCTGTTCTGGAAGTTTATACAAATGAGTGCATTTTTAATTAGATAGTGCTTTATTAGCATATTTAAACATAACATTTCAGAAAACAATTATCTTAATGTACTGTGATTTAATAGCTAGGGAAGTATGATATCTATAAATTATCAGACTTTTATTATTTTTTACTAAAGGTTCTGCCTCATTGACAAGCTGTTGTACCACTAAAGGTACACCGATTTTAATACATTTCACATTTGTAGCAATGCAAAAATGACACACTTCACCAAGATTATTGTTGCAGGTAAATCTGAAATGTCTGAAACATACATTACACTGATAACCAGTGATGGTTTGAATGGGACATTTAAGATGGTCACCAAATAAACCAGCTTAGCTGCTCTAGGCTGTTTGTTTCAGCTAGTTAAATACAGACATGCTCAAAAATTAACAAACAAACCAAACACATAACTTGTTGTTGGATAGTTAAAGAGGAGGATACTAGTTACTGTCACTAGCATGTTAGGAAATACCAAACTAAAAGTAGCAGCGTTCTTATTTTAACTACTTTTTTAGCAGCCCAACAGAAGCTCAGCTATTTCCAAAAAGCTTGCTTTTCCAGTCACAGTTCATTTCAATAAACTAGCTCAAAACATGGTTTAAAGGGGTCATCGGATGCTAAATTTACTTTTACATGTTGTTTGAACATAAGTGTGTTGGCAGTGTGTGTACACATCTACCCTATAATGATAAAAATCCACCCAGTGGTTTTTATTTAATCCCTAAAAGTAATATCCCCTTTTTCAAATCAGGCCGTTCTCAGATTCCTGTCTCTGTGACGTCACACGGACGAAGGCCCCTCCCTCGATTGTTGATTGACAAGGCCGTCTTACCTTAGACCCGCCCTGAGTGTGCTGTAACAGTCCGACCGGCATTGTTTCGACGCCGGAGCAGATGTAGACAAGAATGTCTCCTAAGCGATTGAAGTGTTTTGTTGTTGGATGTAATAATGAACATAGCAGTTGTCATTTACTCCCGACATCTGAGCTGCTGAAGATGCAGTGGATTACATTTGTTTGTGAAGGGAATGTGCCCCCAATCTACCTAAATATGTTTATGTTCGCGCAAATCATTCGTGATCCAGCTTCATCTACAGAAGAAGTGAGTATAAGGAGTTTTTTATGAATCTTTGCAATCGCCTTTCCTAATAACGTGCTAGTTAGCCAGTTTCGCAGCTAAAGTTTACAGTCTCTTAGATCATGGCTCGTCATCCCACAGAAGAGAGGGGCGGAGTGAGCAGAACTCATTAGCATTTAAAGGGACATGCAACAGAACGGGTTGATGTCTGCAGAGCTGATTTTGACAGGGTAAAAAGGGTGTTGTTTTACACTACCATTGAGAAATTTTAACCAAAGTATGTTATAGACTTTTCATTAAGACCCTAAAGAATCATATCGACTTGTGGAAAATGGGCATCCGATGACCCCTTAATTAATATATTTAGTTTCCCTTCAGGAACTCGAGCTGCATTGAAACGCTTTGGGAATGCCCCGGCGAGACCACGTACTGAAGCATGTATGAAATCAGTCCAATAGAGCTCCAATCAGCTCCTCATATCGCCAGACCCAGAAACAGAGCGTCGCGACCCGTACCCCAAGCAGAAAGAGCAGGGGGTGGGGTGGCGTTCTCGGTTGGGGTTCTCTAAACAGAAAGCTGATCTGTGGTCCGTTATTCTGTCAAAGAGGACCTCGGCCAAGCGGTCCTGACAATTCCATCGTCCCGAGAGCAGCCCACCCTGGGGAGGAGAGGTACACACCTCGGTATACGGTGCCCGATCCTCCTCAGTGCCCTCATGGAACTTCACTGATACCCCTGCCACCCCCGGTGCTTCAGGGCTCAGTGAGCTCCGACGACCGAATTTCCCAGCTGCCGCCCGGCGACGGTACAGCACGGGAAAGCTCGTCCCCTCAAGTGAGGGCGCTAGAGCAGTCAGGTCGGTCGTTCCCTGCTGGTCATGCGCTTCAGGGCACTGAAGTGGCTCCTCTAGCAACACCAGAGGCCAGTCTCGAGAGACTGGTTCCCTTAGTAGACTTTATGACAGCGTGGACACTTCTGCCAAATGTCTCACAATGGGTCCTGCACACTGTAGAGAGAGGTTACAGAATTCAGTTCAGTTCTCATCCACCTCGCTTCAACGGGGTCATTCCTACATTAGTAGGCTCCGAGCAGGCTCTGGTATTGAAACAAGAAGTAGACACTCTCTTGAGGAAGAAGGCCATAGAACGTGTTCCTCCTCCTCTCTCGAGAGAGAGTCAGGGTTCTACAGCCGTTACTTCATCGTTCCGAAGAAGGATGGAGGGTTGCATCCAATCATAGATCTGCGTCTTTTGAACCGCGCTATCAAACGGTTTCGGTTCAAGATACTCACTATCAAACAGATTGTGTCTCAAATCAGGTCCAAGGACTGGTTTCTCACGATAGATCTCAAGGACGCATACTTCTACGTATCCATCCTTCCTCAACACAGGAGGTTCCTGAGGTTTGCTTTCGGGGGCGAAGCATACCAGTATTGGGTTCTTCCGTTCGGCCGGTCACTCTCAACCCGCACTTTCACCAAGTGTGTGGATGCCGCTCTGGCTCCACTGCGACTCCAGGGCATCCGCATACTCAACTACATCGATGACTGGTTGATACTAGCTCAATCGGAGCAGTTGGCGGCTCGACATCGAGATGTCATCCTCGCCAATATCAAAGAGCTGGGGTTACGGCTCAACGCCAAGAAAAGTGTGCTTTCTCCACTACAGAGTGCCACTGGCGTGGCGTGGGATTTGACAACGATGCAGGGACAGTTGTCTCCTGCTCGTATCGAAGCAATTCTCACAGCCGTGAGGGGAGTGAGAGAAGGCCAGTCACTCAATGTCAAACAGTTTCAGAGACTGTTGGGTCTGATGGCAGCTGCGTCCAACGTGATACCTTTTGGCCTGCTGTACATGAGACCATTGCTCAGGACCAAGGTCACGCGGCGATGTTTACGTGCCTTAGACATGTGAAGGGAAACCTTGGTTCCTGTCTCAAGGCCCGATATTGGGGGCTCCTTGTCGTTGCGTAACGCTAACGACAGATGCCTCCCTCACGGGCTGGGAAGCGGTCATGAGTGGCCACTCTGCCCAAGGTCGGTGGGAAGGCCATCATCTTACGTGGCACATAAACTACCTGGATATGCTGGCCGTGTTTCAAGCTCTAAAACACTTACTTCCAGACCTAAGGGGACATCATGTGCTTGTCCGCACAGACA